TGAACGCCGGCTTCGACGATCTCTTCGGGTATGTAAGACATGGTTGCCAGACATCGTCGTTGGGTCTGTATGGGCCAAGACTAGTGCAATAGGGTTTGATGAAATGTGTTTTATTGGGGCTAGGGGGCGCGGAACAGAAAGGGAGCTTGTCATCAAGCAACATTACCTCAAACCTGAACGTTACACCTTTTTGCATCCGGTCTGCAGCGACTCCACCAAAAAAGACGTGTCTTTGCACAAGACAAAGAGGCTTCACAAATTAGTACACCTAAAACCTATAAGCCCGGAACATCAAAAACCTCCAACAACCCAAGTCTCACACCATGGATCCTCAACCTCAAAACCCAAACCCTTAAGGTCCTAAGCCATGACTCCCATTTTGTGGCCGGAAACATTGGTTTCACAAGGTGCCCTTACTGCCCAGCTCCACCCACAACACAGTACTCATAGAAACATAAAATCCGAAATCTGTTTATTTAGGCCCCTTCGTTATAGATTTTGCCCAGGCCTCCACTTCGTAGCCTGGCGAGATGTTTGCCTGGTCGTTTGCTGGCTTAAAAAGACCATGCCGCCCAACCCTCTCACAAGTGCAGTCACCGTCATCAGCGCTTGCGTCATCATCACCATAGCCATGACTCTGATCGTGAGAATGACCATGAAGCCCCCTCATGCTCTTTCGTTTGCTCGGCCGGTTACTCGTTCCTTCCTTGGTCGGTTGAGGGTTCGCTCAGGAGGCCACAACCGTCGCGACTACACTTAACGATCATCATCATCATCATCACCATCTTTGTCATCATCATCATCATCACCATTGACAATGTCGTCGTCGTTGCTATCAGCATAACAAGGAACGAAGAACACAAATACGTGGAGAACAGGGCCCAGGGTACGTTATAATGACGAGTGGGAGAGGTATGTCCTTGCAGTCTGTGGTCGAAACCAACTCTGCACCGCTAGAACAGCAAAAAGGAGAAGATCCGTAATCCTAAGCCCTGGACCACCGAGGTACGATTCTGGAACCCGAACCCGTGAACTCTTGAATCCACGGGCCAGAGGTCTTCAGCCCTACGAACTTCGTTCCGTGGGCTCTTAAGCTGTACTCGCCATGTCTGGGACTCTGCTAGTTTCTGACGGTTACTCAAATGTGCCATCGTCAAGGGTGCAGAGACGCAGCGTGCGTGTCTCTACACAAATCCCAAGCCAGCGACACTAAGGATTAAGTTGGATCCGTTCTGGCTTGGGGCATGGGTAAGCTCTAAAACCCTCAAGGTTCTTGCGGCCGTGGCACCCATCGGTAATCGGCTGTCTCTCCGGCCGGAGCGAAATAGCCCGGCATGTGGCGGCTTTCAGAAAACCCTGAAGCTTTAGGATTTGGGGTTGCGGCGGTTAAGGGTGTTGTCGAGGCTTTTTGTCGCCAGCTTTTGGCCCAAAGTGAAGCAAGCTTGAGGGTAAGGGCTAAGGTGTCATGTAGGGCTTTAGGGTTTAGGGGCTTAGATTTCCGGCCGGTGAGGTTAAGGGTTCTGGGCAACATCCTTCAATCGTCTAGCCCTGACCCAGGTCAGGCAGGACGTTTGGGCTGTCGTCTTAGTTGCCCCGTATCATACGGGGACTAACGGTTAACCTTTGGGATTATGTAGCGATGATCATGCTCAAGAACTGGTGAAAGGCTACCTACTCTACTACCCTGAACCACTAAGCCCCTAAACCCTAAACCCTCTAAACCCCCAAAAAGCCTATTCTACTACTACGTCGTGGTGTCGGCTTTTCTTCACCGGCATGGAGCCTTCGAGCCGTTAAGGAGCTCACAGGGGGAGGTGCTTGGAAAGCATCTCCGTGTACTCTTACACCCCAAATAACTGACTAAGGCTTTCTATTATATAGTTGCAAAACTCCCAATCGTGAATCTGAGGGATTATAGTAGTAAGTATTCAGGCCCTTGTAGTGAACGAAATCGCAGCCAGTGAAGTGGACTGCGAACCTGTCCTTCCAACCAGGAACATGTTTCAAGCCTGCCAGAGTATCATGCTCATTGCTGCAGTATGAGAAGCAACAGCAGCAGGAGCAGGAGTGACAGAACGGCTTTGTGTGACCCGGAGGTCTAACTGTTCGCGGCAACTGGGTCATAAGCCCACGAAGCTGCAAGTGCGCGGACTTGGTGCAGGCTACTTGTAAGTCCTGCAGGAAATTCAAAATGGAAACCCGTGAGATGCACGGCACGGAGCCTCAGGCATGTCCATTTCGACATGTTGGGCTCGGGCTTAGGTTTGGGGGCTTAGGGTTTATTGATTTTTCTTGCGAACCATTCTGTAAAAATGGTCACAGCACCGGGCCAGCGCCAAAATGTGTTCGATGTTCTGGGTCTTCAAGGCCATGGCACCCCAGACAAGGCTGAATGGAGCATCAGAGCGCAACTGCACTAAGCCTTCCACTAAGCCCGAAACTGCAGATCCCATAGGGCAAAACCCAAATGCCTGAAAACGCCCTATAAACCTTCTCTTGCACCAAGAAATCGTTGCGGCCCAAATGAAGTATACGCATGGCTGACATATGCTCATGTCGTCGGCCGAGGCAAACCGAGCCGTCTCAGTCACCGGAGCTTTCGTCACTGTCAGATTTTGATTTACTGACAGCATACGACTTGGGGTTCACAGAGCACGTGCGGATGTCACGACTCCTGGGTTTGGGGATGGTTTAGGTTCGTGGGATTCAGGGGTTTGAGGAACTTTAAGGCCGTAAAGTTTGTGAGTGTGTACTAAACCAACGAGCTAAAAAACCCGACAAATGCATCTACACTGAGCACCCTAATCCCTAAACCTTAACTGAACAACTAATCTTGGTGGGGAAGTATCCGGCTCAACTCGTTGAGCTGTTGACATAAAGCGCCCCCGGCACGAGAATAAGAGCAGGGCAGTTTAGGATGGGTAATCGTAGCTTATGGTTCTGGTCCCCCAAAAGTTTCCTGATAACTTCCATGGCAAGTTCGCAACGGTTAGACCCGGAAGTTCAGACTCGTCGTGCGGAAGCAATGCGACCATGACTAGTTGGCCGGTACAACGAAATGCCGCGACGAGTGCCAGCAAGTACTCGTGCCGCTTGCGCCATGGTACAAGTGACAAACAAGCTGCTGCTGCTACTACTACTACTACTACTACTACTACTACTACTGCTACTACTAGTACTACTACTACTACTACTACTACCATTATTATTACTACTACTACTACTACTACTACTACTACTACTCCTACTCCTGCTGCTGCTACTACTACTACTACTACTACTACTACTACTGGTGCTGCTGCTACTGCTACTGCTACTGCTACTGCTACTGCTACTGCTACTGCTACTGCTACTGCTACTTTCTCTGCTGCGGCAAGGGGAAGTGCAAGGAACAACACACAAACAAGATAGTACGTACTATGCAGATGGTCATCACCATAAGTGAGTCGGCACAGGTGACAAAACTCACAGAAATTGTAAACTTCGAATGTCAGAAACCACGAGAAACGAAACTCTTTGTGGTGCCAGTCTCCTGAACCTGCTCTGTAAAGTCGCCGTGCAGTAAGGATAGGCCTGTTGGTGTCCGCAATCGCAGTTGCAATCGAGGTGATGCCGTTTGGAGTTTCATGTATGTGTAGATATGCAGAAATATGTGCGTATACAAGAGCTTCAGCGTTCTTATGCCTCACTCGCAGATACACTTTCTGATGTTCTTCCGCTGGCTTGTGATTTTGCCTGTCGTCAGCATCATTGTCAATCGACCTTCAAGCACTACGGTTGAGGCAAGTCGTATGAGTATATGTAAACCACCAGAAGCTCAAGAATAGCTCTTGATCCTCAACTTAATACGCTGTCGGCTGGGCCCAAAGCGCTAAGGAGTGTCGTGTAGAGCTGAAAACTTCATGGCGAACACCATGGCCTTCCGTCGTGGTTATGATTCTTGCATTTATCTAATCCCGGACTTTTGCCAGGCGTTCACATGCCACACTTCGTATGAAAAGCTGCAGACGCCGCGTTCCTGTATTTGGATATATCCGAATGTAGATAGCAAAAGAAATATAGTGCTTAACTAGGCCTGGGCTCTGCACTGATGTGAACGTAGGATTTGGGATAGGACTTAGGATGTAGGTTTTAATACAGAAGAATACGGCCCTCTGGTACACCTGTCATACTTCAGTGTAACACTTACCCAGACCCCCAAAAGGATCTAAAAAAATAGATCACCTAATTAGGGACCCTAACTACTAAAGGGGACTTTATAGGAACCCTTTTAGGGGATCTATTTTTTAGATCCTTTTGGGGGTCTGGGTAGAGTGCAAAGGGATGTCCCGCATCTGTTTATGCAAGTTCAGGTCCGGCTTTCAACAAGCATCCTCACTCGTGCAACCCTAACCTTCCAGGTACCTACTATGTAGTGCCCTAGGGGCTCTAGTACCCTCTATAGTAGGTGCGTGGAGGGCTAGGGCAGTGGCTTAGGGTTTAGGGCTTAGGATTTTAGGGTTTGGCGCTTTAGGGGTTTAGGGTTATAAGGTTTAGCTCGCTTCGGCAGAGTCTGCAGCTCGTGGCACGGTTTAACAAGAGCTCGGGCTGCCCCAAGACTTTCCACCACCATCACCTTCTACAGTTTTTCCAGGTGCGTGAGAGCTTTCTAACCCTAAAACCAGCAACCGTAAACGTGGCACTCGGCTAAGAGACAGAGGTCTCGGTGTTGTCAGCCACCGAAAACTCTGACGGTTATGGGCTTGGGGCTTAGGTCGCAAAGCCAACCTTGCTGGACCGTTGCAGAGGCAGCATATAATAAGGCACACCATACAGAATCTTCAGTCAAAGCCTGAACCCTAATCCGTGTATGTATGTATGTATGTATATATATATATATAGGCCTCAAACCCTAAACCCAACACGACCCTAAACCCTAAACCCTAAACCCTAAGCACTAAACCCTAAACCCAACATGACCAGGGCAGCGCGAGGAACAGCAAAAAGGAATGCCTTCTGAATTACAAACTGCGGGCTGCCAGCTTGGCGAAGTTTCCGTCCTGCTTTGAGCTGAGAGGTTTAGGGGTTGAGGCTTTTAGGGGGCTTTGGGGTTTAGGGTTTAGGGGGTTTTGGGGGTCTAGGGTTTTAGGGGTCTAGGGGTTTTTGGGGGTCTAGGGCTTTAGGGGTCTAGGGCTTTAGGGGTCTAGGGGTTTGGGGGTCTAGGGGTTTGGGGGTTTAGGGGTCTAGGGTTAATCAGTGAGAAGGGGCTAGAAGTCGCCCATAGGATTCAGGTTTGGGGGTTCAGGACTTAGGGAGGACTTGCAGGGTTTATCGGGTTGGGTTTAGGATTTAGGGTTTAGGGTTTAGGGTTTAGGGTTTAGGATTTAGGGTTTAGGGTTTAGGGGGCTTAAGGGGGTACCTTGTAGCATGTGGGGTGTAGCTTTGGAGTTCAGAGTTGAAGCCGTGGCGATGGCAACAAGTTGGGAAAGCCTATGGTTTCATGTCCTGGATCAACAATGGCAGCTTCCCCATCCACCCTGAACCCCCAAAAAAACGCGAACGTCTGCCTACTGATCATTTCCTGAACAACTCTTGGGCGCTTGCAGGATTGCCTGTTGTGGGTTTGGGGTCTCAGCTTATAAGGCTTCGCTTTGCTTTTGGTTTTCAGAGCAACAGATGTTTTGGGTTCCGGCATGCCGTAAACTACACACCTGACATTTGTAAACCCGAAGGTGTCCATGTTGATCAGCTCGGTATAGGTGCCCGATTCCACGACCCGGCCGTTGGCCATCACGAAGATCTTGTCCTTGTCATATATAAGGCTTTCGGTAATGTAGGGGGTGAAAGGGCTTGGGCCTTCATGGAGTTAGTGACGTGGGTTATGAAGATGATCTACATCGACATACGACGTCCAAAGAGCCTCCCAGAGCATGAATGATTACAGCAGGATTCTGGCGCATGTTACACGATGCTCAGAATTGGGAATCCTAATAAGGAATACTGTTCGATTTTGTCACGCTTCTGTATGACCTCAACGACTAACGACGACGATACTACGCAGAACGCCCGCTTGCATGAAGAGTGCCTGAAACCGCCCGAATCGGCAAGATCAGGAGCCCAAGAACCTAGAGATGCAAAGTCGAGCTCGACTCCACGATGATAGCCTCCCAGGCCCATGCGTACAACTCTTCTGCCTCATCTTTCAGGACCCCTTTCTGGCAGTATGCCTTCCCTAGAATCACTTACACCCTGAAGCCGCAAACCCGCCCTAAACCCGAAGCCAATGCCCTTAGCCTTTAGCGGGAACTGCAAACCCCTAAAGCCCTCAACCCAAAGCCTAAGCCAAATGGGAAGCCGGCCCCTAAAGTCCTCAAGCGCTAAACCCTAAATCCCTACAGTAAACCACAAAAAACATGCTCAACACATCATTGCTAAATAATTGCACACCGCCCCTCGGAGTTTTACAAGTATGAAGCTTCAAAATAATGCCCAAGTGCAGACCCTAAAAGCCCTTTTTTGCAAAAGCCCTAAAGACCTGAACCCTGCCCAAAGCCCGCCCAAAATAGATAGTCATGGGTGGTTCTCTAAAGTAGGGTCCGTGTTCAGGTCCCCAATATAGTACGGCACCCCTCTGCTTCAGATAAACACCCTCATGCAGACAGAATATCTGAGCCTGAACCCTAAACCCTGAATGCCTAAATGCCCAAGCCCACCCTCCCTCCCATAAAGCTCTAAACCCTAAACGGCCCTAAACCCCACTAATGCAGGCAGAAGATCTGAGTTTTGAATCGTGGAAAGGCGGTGAGCCACGGTGATGGTGGTCTTGCCCACCCGCGCCTCCTGTCAGAAGATCGCGGAGCAAGGTATTGCTTGAGCTTCAGGTGCCGTATACACGCCGTGCCCCAACGTGCCTCAATGCAGAAAAGCTACCCCAAACCCTAAATCTCGAAACCCCGAAACACTGCAAAACCCTCAGCCTCAGGCCTCTTGGGCCCAGGGCCATGGACCCACATACCGTGTCGGGTCAAGGTGTTACCCCACATAAATGGGGCCTGAATCCACGTAAGTGTTTAGGGTTTAGGGGTTTAGGGTTTAGGGTTGAGACCCTCAGCCCTAAACCCTAAACAAACCTGAAAGATAAAAGTCGAGCAACACCTCACCCCCCGAAATTAATCCTTTCGATCGGACGGAAGCCGTCCAAGAGCTAATAGTCTGCAACCCGAAGCCGTCAGCAAACTCAACCCGAACGTCAAAAGTAGATCTAGACAGCTAATACCGACGAAACCCTGCAGCTAGAAAAGCCGGGGCAAGAACCACCACAAAACCCCATAAAACCGCTAGGCCCTGAACCCGCATCCCCTCCAACACCCTCCTCCTGAACCCTGTACCCTAAATCCCCAACCCCTAAAATCTAAACTCTAAATCCTGTTTTTGGAACGCAGACTACGCCGATCAGCTGTGAAGCAGTACTGCAAGACTTGCACAAGAATCACGCCCTCCAAACCCTCAGCTCGAAACCATCAAACCCCAAACCCTGAGCCCAAAACCCTGGAAACCCTATAAACCCTAAGCTCAAAACCCTGAAACCCCAAAAAACCGAAACCCTAAATCCTAAGCTCAAAACCCTGAAACCCCGAAAAATCCACAAATCCGAAACCCTAAGCTCAACATTCTGAAAAATCCCTCAAATCCTGCATTGCCAGCTGCACCAACCGCTCGGAGGTCGAATCCAGCGCCGACGTCGCCTCTCAAGCGTTCGTCTTCTAGTCTAGGGTTTAGGGTCTATAGGGTCTATAGGGTCTATAGGGTTTAGGGCTTCGAGTCTATAGGGTTTAGGGTCTAGGGTTTAGGGTCTCGGGTTTAGGGTTTAGGGCCTATAGGGTCTAGGGTTTAGGGTCTTGGGTTTCGGATTTATAGGGTTTAGGGCTTCGGGTCATATAGAGTTTAGGGTCTAGGGTTTCGGGTCTCGGGTTTAGGGGCTATAGGGTCTAGGGTTTAGGGTCTAGGGTCTAGGGTTTAGGGGCTATAGGGTCTGGGGCTTAGGGGCTATAGGGTCTAGGGTTTAGTTCTATAGGGTTTAGGGTCTATAGGGTACAGGGTTTTGGGTTTAGAGTGTAGGAGTTTGGAATCCAAAGCCCTATGCAAGATTGAAACAGGTATGTCTTGCAATAGATGAGACTTATCAGGCATGCTGTTGCTGATAAAGAAACTGTTAACTTGTACTGGTTAGGAATGAAAAATATCGTGGTGGATAGTTGTATAAGAATTAACGACAAACTAAAGCAACAGTACTAGCTAGCAATAAGAATATGAATAACAACGTAGTGTTGCTATGGTGAGCTTCGTTCTTACTGTTACTACTATGAAATGTATTGCTTATGTCTTTATTCCTTTGACCGGCAATATTGCTCTGATGAGGATCGCTGCTGATGTCAGTAAATACTTCACTGTCATTCTTGTTTGGACGGGGGAAAAGTCACGGAGGCTCATTGCATAAACCCTAAACCCTAAACCCTAAACCATAAAGTCCCAGTCTTCTAGGCCTTCGTGGGTGTTTTGTGGTCGACACTCATCGGGAAAATTGCGCTTTGGGCTTTCCGGGCTTTGTGTTTAAGGTTTAGGGTTTAGGGTTTAGGGGTTTAGGGGTTTAGGGTTTAGGGTTTAGGGTTTCGGGTAGGATTTACAGCCCAGCTAGCTGACAAACCTTGATGCGGGGATCTCAAAAAAACTCGAACCATTCGGGGTGCTCCTTTGCTTAGGGCTTTCTGGGCCTGATAGGATTTACAACCCACCATATAAACCTTGAAGCAGTGATAAAGTCCCTTGTAAGACGTACCCACCTTTTTTAGGGCTCCTTGTTCTCTGAAACACCCACGGAAACGCCAAGCCCAAAAAATGGTCAAAGCCCAAAACCTCGTGTAAGTGAAAAACCCAGTCCATCGAGAAACATGAACCCGATTGATCCCTCAAGCTGGAACCCTATGCCAGAGAACCGCAAACTAAGACCCTCAAGTTCTGTACCCGCTACCCTAAACCCAAAAGTCAACCCTGCACCTTAAACCTTGAACCCCAAAACATCCTAAACCCAAAGTCAATCCACAAATCAACACTACCCGCCTCATCGAGAAGCATGAACTGGGGTCGCCGGAGCAAGGCACGGGCAATGGCGACACGCTGCTTCTGTCCGCCCGACAGCTTCTCCTAGGTTTAGGGTTTAGGGTGTAAGGTTTAGGGGTCTAGGGTCTAGGGTTTAGGGTTTAGGGATTTGGAGCTGTCTAGGGTTTAGGGCTTTGCACCGGTACGCCTCTTAGACAACCAAAGGATGTAAGGACATATTGATAAGGGTGCACACCTGGAGATGCTGCTTTCAGCTCGAATCCTGAACTATAAGGGGGTCTCCGAAAATAGGGGACCCTAATACAGTACCCTAAATAGTCGGACCCTTATTATAAGGACCCCCAAAATAAGGTACCCTAACTCTGGAAACTCCCATAAACCATGAAACCCTGCGGGTCTGCTCCGTCAAAATACGGCCGCCTGTCCTGACTGTATACTTGTTCCCCCCCGACTTCATGGACCACAACAACACCAAACAAAAAAACAAAAAAATAACCATACCCTCAGCCCCAACTTCACCCCAAACCCCCCAAAACGCTACTCCCAAACCCTTGAAACTGCTTATTGTATTATCTCATCATATTCAACTACATATACTATATTATAATATACTAAGATTATAGTATAAAACACTCAACACCCCTAAATCTGCAGCTCGGCGGCTCCACGAAGCCCCACCCGATCCGTCCACTTCCTTGGCCGTCGGGTCCCGGCGGCTTGAAGCGGTTAGGGTTGAGGACTTTAGGGTTTAGGGTTTAGTAGTTTAGGGTTTAGGGTCTAAGGTTCAGGAGTTTAGGGTTGAGGGTTTGGGAGTTCCGGAGTCTAGGGTTTAGGGCTTAAGGGTTTGGGTTTAGGGTATAAGAAGCGGTTAGGATTTCGGAGTTGCGGGTGCGGGGTTTCTCGATTTGGGTTTAAGGTTCAAGGCTTGGGGCATTAGGGCTTGAAGCAGCTGGGGTTTTGGGGTTTCGGGTGTGGGGCTTTTAAGGGTTTAGGCGGTTTAGGGTTTCAGGTTTAAGGCTTGGGGGTTTAGGGGCTTTGCGGGTTTAATTATTGGTTTGTGGATCAGGGCTAGGAGTTTAGGGGGAGCTCAAGGCTACTTTGGCAGGAACTATGTATAATCGTACAGTTTAAGGGCTTAGCGTAGCTTCAGAACAACCTTACAGGTTAATGCTACCTGAAAGGACATCTATCTATGCATATATATATATATATATCTCTCTCTCTCTCTCAATATACGTGGGAAGAAAATTCGGCATGTACACTTTGCATAGAGTCTACTTCGGGCTCCCTTCACGGTACCTTGCGCTGCTCTGGAACTTCGGGCAGTTCCCGACCAGGGCCCCCTCCAGAGCTGTCGAAGAATAACCCCGGGAGCTTGCGGCTTTCATACCTCTACAATAGGGGCCTCAAGATTAGACTAGGGTTTGGGGCCCATGACTATATTAAGGAACCCCCACAATAGTTTTTGTTTACTTTTAGGCCCCTATATGACTTCCCCCTCATAATTTGATTCGGAGCTCGGGCTGTTCTATTATGTCGGGATCATAGCAGGGATACAAGGCAACGCGCTAGCCATTGAGACAAGAGCGACGTTTAAGCAGCCTGAACCACAAAAGGTTATGCACGCTATCACAAGCTTCACTGACTAAACGTTGATTGACAAGCCTTGAGAATCCAGAACCCTCCAGAACCATACTGTTGATGGACAAAATTCTGCATGACCCACATATAGTATATTATAGTATAGTACCATAAATCCCATAGTTTAGGTATATAAGGTCATGCAGGATTTTGTCCATCAACCGTAGTGCTGGGGTTGAGTGGGTTTTGGTCAAGCCCTAAACCCCCAACGGGGCCTCATCTCAGGCCATGACTTGACCCTAAGGGTCCATGTGTTTAGGGTTTAGGGTTTAGGGTTTAGGGTTTAGGGTACTCATATAGTATATACATTGGCCCCAAAAGTATCTATATAGGGACTACTTTAAGGCCAAAGTATCTACTATTTGGGTACATGGACCCTTAGGGTGGTTTCCGGATTCCCCCCAAACCCCTTGGCTCCTCGAGCTGCACGCTACCTTTTTAGGGCCCGAGCTGCTGTCCGAAGCAGTGTAGTGGAATTGAAGCTGTGGGTACCCATAGGCCCCATAGTAGTTCCTTTTTGGGATTACCTTATAGGATTCTAAATATGAACCCCAAAAAGGAACTACTATGGGGCCTGTGGGTGGTGAGTAGGATGGGCCTTGGGGTTAAGTCTTCTTAGTCGTACAGTATCGCGGGAACTAAAGGTTGACCTTTGGGACCGCATAGGGATTCCGATACCCATAAAAGGTTAAGGGTTACCTTACCTAACTCACTAGGCCTTACAATGGAGGTTCAGGGTATGGGGCTGATTCTGCACTTCCCGTTTCGGCCAAATGGCACGTTTCCGGCGATGACGAAGTCCATGTTGGCCGCCCTAGCTGCCTCTGTCACCTGTTCATCTGTGGCCTGAGGCAGGGAAAAAGGATAGGATTCAGTTCAGGCTAGCTGCCATTCCGAACACCTCCAACCCCACACCCTAAACACCTAATTAAACCCCATCACGAAGCAACCTAACCGAGCAAGCCCAGGGTGCGTCGAGATGTTGCCAATCCTGCTCGGATCGTAAACATACCCTACTATTCGTAAAAGTTATGATTCGCATTGACTACTATGAGTGGTGTTAGTATTTTGACCTTCTTCAAGGGAAACGAAACTAAGGGGTATGGATAGTAGCAGCAATTGACACATCCGTAGAATGCTAATCATTTGATGTCAACATCCATAGAATCAAACAATACTCAACATGATCGGCAACAAGCGCACAAAAGCCACTTCAAGTACCAACAACGCCCTCGCCCGGTCAGAGGACATTGCATGCTGCCGTATAGTATAGTATGATGTCGTGAGAATCAAGATCTCAACGTCCAGCAACTAGAAACCGCCACTTGGGACTGGATGGGACAGGGAGGTTCCCTTCAAGAACCCTAAGGGTCAATGTGCCCCAATAATATATACTCTGGGCCCAAAGTACCTATTTAGGGACGATTTTAGGCCAAAGTATATACTATTGGGGTACAGGGACCCTTAGCCCTAAACCCGAAACCCTAAACCGTGGCAAAGTTGCACCATCAGCAAGAAGCCAAGCTTGGGGCTTAGATGTTTAGAGCTCTTGCTTTGAAGCACAAGACCAACGGCGACCGCAAAAAAAAGGCTTCTGCATGATATTACACTATATTCTAGTCTGTTCTATTCTATTCTATCCCCACACTCTAAACCCTTTTTTTAACATCAGGCTACACTCTACACCCTACCTGAACCCCAAACAACCTACCGTTTTAAGGACTTATATAGGGAAATCATATTAAGGAACCCTAAAAATGTAGGTTCTTCAGGGTCCAGGTAAACCCTAAACCCTAAACCCTAAACCCTAAAGTCTGCCAGAGACGTGGACTCCAAGAGGCCTCCGGATTGCCGTATCTCACGTTCCTGAGTGCACGGCGCTCTGAGACCGACCCTTGGCCCAACAAACCGTTCAGAGTTTACCCTATAAGGGTTTAGGGTTTAGGGTTTAGGGTTTAGGGTTTAGGGCTTAGGGTTTAGGGTTTAGGGTTTAGGGTTTAGGGTACCTTCCTTTTTTAGAGCTCCCTATAATCATTTCCTTATATAAGTCCTTGAAGGAAGTAGGCTCTTTAGGATCCAGGTAGGGTTTAGGCTTTAGCGTTTCTTGGGCCGCCGCATCACAAGCCAGGAGCTAGGTCTTAGGGCTTGAGTCATCGATGAGTATGCCTTGACGAGGCCATCTTGCCTACACTCAGCCTAGAACAGACTCTCTGAAACTGCTCGTCAAGGTACAACCTCTTCGACCCAAGAAAAATTAATCCACAGTTTGCTCCAGGGAGGGTTCTCAGATTTCGAACCCGCAGGCCCGAAACCCTATAAAACCACCGAAACCCCTGGGCGCCAACCGGGTTATAAGGGCTTAGGATTTAGGTTTTCTTTCCGGAAAGATCTAAGCCTAGATTGGGTCTTAGAAACAACCTGCAATTCTCCAAGTCCAAGGCTCTCTTCCAGGGTCACATCAAAGAGCACGGGCTCTTGTCCAACCATGCCAACCTCCCCGGCTTCGGGTTTAGGGTTTAGGGTTTAGGGTTTAGGGGTTTAGGGGTTTAGGGTTTAGGGTTTAGGGTTTAGGGTTTAGAACTTTCGATTCTTCTCCGGTTTAGGGTAGTCTAGGGTTTAGGATTTAGTTTAGGGTTTAGGGTTTTAGGGCCCTCAAGCATTCAAGCCCATAACCCTGAGCCCTCAAGATCTAACTCGTCTCCCCTCGCCCTAGCTCCCCAAGCCTATGAGGCTACTGTAGATATTAAACAGAGCCTGGAGCCTGGCCGCCAGTCGGAAGCATTCTGAGTAGTCAGGTTTGGGGAGTTCTTGGGTCAACCTTCGTAGAGGCCTTTTGTGGGCCGCAGTATGTACTCGAGATGTCAGGGGTGTATAACTTTCATAGGCTGAAGGATGATCACGAAGGCATGGTCATCCGGAGGTTAAACCCTACAGGCTTAAAGTAACCTAGGCATAAACCTCTCAAACCCATCCGTGGCTGCTAAGTCAGACTGGCCTGCATACGCCACCACGCCACATTGAGATCGCGCAAGTTCTGGCCACCCACTTGGATGCAACCGGCCTCATCCGGTTTACGATTTGAGTGTATACATGTATGCATGCATGTATGCATGTATGTATGTATGCATGCATGTATGTATGTACACATGCATGTACATGTGTATGTATATGTATATGTATGTGTATATGTATATGTATATGTATATGTATATGTAAATACATATACATATACATGTGTGTGTATGTATGTATGTATGTATGTATGTATGTATGTATGTATGTATGTATGCATGTATGTATGTATGTATGTATGTGCATGTATATGTATATGTATATGTATATGTATATGTATATGTATATGCATGTGTATATATATATATATACGTGTACCCACATATGGACGTATGTATGTATGCATGTATGTATGTATGCATGTACCTGTGTATGGATGTATGTGTGTGCATCTTGTTTTCACCTACAGCTTACTTCTCTGCCTACTTACATTCACATACGCACACCGCTCAACATCTCGATTTCTCGATCTCTATCTCTCTCTATCTATCCATGTACCCATCTATCCATCCATGCATCCACCTATCGGTCTATCTATCTACTTACCAGTCAAACTTATGTATCTAACGTCATGTACATACATACATACATACATACATACATACATACATGCATACAGACGTACATACCTACATACCTACATACGTACATACGTACACACACACATACGGTATCACATACGTACATACAAACATATATACATACATAGATACACATATACATATACATATACATATACATATACATATGCATATACATATACATATACATACATACATACATAGTCACCTACAAACAAACAAATGAACGAACGAACAAACAAACAAACATACATACATACATACATACATACATACATACAGCCACCTACAAACAAACATACATACAAATAAGTTTTTGAATACTTAGATGTAGGATATGGAGCAGATGTTGATTATTCTTTGGGTACGTGTTGTTGCTTCAAGGTTTACGACTCAAGGCTGTCAACTTCCAGAACTCCTTCAACTCTTAACCCTATACAGATCCACCTTAAGTAGGATTCAAGAAGTAGAACCCTGAACCTTGAAGTTTACAGCCCTGTAACACAACTAGATTGGAGAGCGATGTTATCCAAACCCAGAACCCCAAACCCCAGAATCCTAGAGTCTAAAGTTTAAGTTCACAACCACCCGCCCCCTCAAATTGCCTGTGGGTCGTAGAACCTCTGCAGAAGCTGGATCACGGTGGACTTGCCACTGCCGGAGAAGCCCACCAAGGCGACCTAAGCTCCCACGCCTCGCACCCCCTAGTGAGTCTTAAGGTTCAGGGTTTACGGTTTATGGTTCAGGGTTTTAGGGTTTACGCTCTCGCAACTCGGACTCCGCCAAACGAGGTCTCTTGTGTCCAACTAGTGTCTGCTGCTACAAAGTCTAGCGAATGATCACTGCTACACAACAAAAGCATACGGAACAGTAAAAACCCTCACCTCACCCTAGCCCCCTGGAAGCCTAGAGTGACAGCCAACTCCCCAGTGACCGTTGCGAATGTCGGTGCATTGACCGTCTAGGGTTTTAGGGTTTAGGGTTTATAGGGTTTAGGGTTCCTAAACCCTAAACCCTATAGGGTTTTCAGCACTTATAGGGTTTTAGGGTTTAGGGTTTAGGGTTTTGGGACCTCGAGCCGGATATCAAGGCGGCCTGTGAAAGTAAACCAAAGCCACCCAATGCACTAATGTAGGGACCGGAATAATTAGAATAGGGTTTGGGGGGTATATATACTATATACTATAACTAAAACAGCGGGTTTAGCGCTTGGAGTAATGTAGGGGCCTGAATAATTACAATAGGGTTTGGGGGGTATATTATACTATACTTATAATAAGGAGCCCACCAACATAGTATACTATGCTTAAAATATGGACCCCCCCAAAAAAAAAATAGTATAGGTAATCATTTAGGCCCCTATATTAGTGAGGGAACTGCAGAGCTACGAGGTATGAGCCCTCCATGTTCCTAGATGCTGGGCTTCTTGCTCAGAAGGCTCCCTGCTGAGGCGTAGGGTTTAGGGTTTAGGGTTTAGGGTTTCGGCGATTTTGGCGCCAGGAACCGGAATAGACCGGAGCTAAGTGCATCTGAGGTCTAGCCTGTCACTCTCTTTAATTAGGGGTTTGGGGCTTCAGGCTCGGAGTTTGGGGTTCGACTTCCATCGCCGACCGCTCTTACTTGTTTTGTCTACCAGTGCCAGCCATAGTCATTTTGCTACATATACTCTTCCATGGCGGAAATGCAAGGCTCGGGGCTTCAAGAGTTAACCCTAAACCCATAGAAACTTAATTACATCTTACACCGGCAAGCTCAGACTACTAGCTCCCACCTGGGGTTAAGCTCGGGTCTGTAAAACGCCTGCAATACTAGTTGCAGAGGGCCGGCTACTTGTAATATACTTATAAGGCTCCTCAATGGCCAACAGCCTGTAGCAATTCGCTAGACTTTTTAACATACACCGAAACTCGAGATCAACGGCTGCTACGGCGCCGATACAAGTCCATCTTGGCAGATTTCCGTTGATCGACGCTCTCATCTGGACCGAATCATCTCAAAGCACGCGCACGCCGGACCCTAAACCTCAGCCCTACCTAGTGCCCAAACTATAGAATCCTAACCATAACATAGGCTGTCCAACAAAGGTACGACATTATAGGGACCAGCTAAACCCCAAGGCGAGGAGACAAGTAGCTGCCTGACCCTTCTCAATCTTGAAGTTGAGCTTCTTGAGCACTCTCACCTCCAGAGTTGCACATGGGCCAGCCCTGATCTCTTCGGATTTCGGATAGTAGGACTTAGGGTATAGGGCAGGGTACTTGATAGACTTCCTGGTCCTACATAGACTGTCCATCTATCCTCTGGTATAATTACCGTAAATACCTACGTACAGTTAGGAGCCATATATACCCGCATGTAGGAGTAAAAGGTAGGGAAAGAAGTTCCGGTTAGCCCCCTGCTCCATAAAGGCCGCTAGAGTGCGATAAGATGTTAAGGGTCTGCAACCAAGGGTATTTTCCGCCAGGCGCAGCGTCCATAAGCTCCTCACATGAACACATGCGCGCCTCGGGGCGATGAGGATACCAGAAGCAGACGTCCTTGCGCTCACGTCAGGTATGTCAAACACTACGCTTCAGTGTGAGGAATATATACATCCTCTGACAGCCCAACTTCCTCCAACTGCAGAATAAGTATTACGAAATTCAAGACAAGAAGTACTACATCCGGGGTAGGCTTTTGAGCTCAGGCGAAGGGAAACTTATCCGATGCGGGTTGCAAACCTCGACGTCGATTCCATCGCCTTTTCTTCCAGAGACGCGAAGGGAACCGAGAGCTGTAAAGCTTCCCTACCAAACCTGGCAACTCCCCGACTGTAGGCAAAAAACTCAGCCCTGAAAGCCCCAAAGGTTTATGGAGTGCAAGAGCCCAAAACTCTGGGAGATCCGAGAAATTGAGGCGCCGCAAAAATCGATGGCTTGAGCCGCGGAAACTCAAGAACGAAAGAAGCCTCCACTCTGTAGCCACTTCAAACTCGCCCCCCCCCCCCCCCCCCCCCCCCCCC